CATATATACATACATGCATGCATGCATATATACATACATACAGACAGACATACATACACCCATGCATGCATGCATGCATACATGCATGCATACAGACAGGCATGCAGGCATTTAGATATACATACATACACACATGCATGCATGCATACATACATGCATACATGCATACATGCATGCATGCATAGATACATACACATGCATACGTACGTACGCACGTACGTATGTATATACATGAATACGTACATACATGCATACGCCCATACATACATGCATGCATACATACAGGCATACATATACTGTCATTGAGCACAAGTGTGTATATACACATACATATACACACATATACATACATGCAGACATACATACATTACATTACATTACATTACATACATGCATGCATACATACATGCACACACACCTACAAGCATACATGCATGCATACATGCATACATACACGCATGCATGCATACATGAATACATGCGTACAATTACATATACATACGTGCATGCAGATAGATATATACATTTACAACATGCATGTACGTAAATGCATACATACAAAACACGTATGCACAAACATATACAGATGTGCATATGTATGTATGTGTGCCGTACATATGTATACATAAATACATCTGCCTAGAATGCAGAAACAAGCGATCGTTTATCTCAAACTTCACAGAATAGCGTGCCTGCCAGACACCCCCGCCACATCCCAATCAAACAGAATTATGCAGTGCGCACGCGTTGAACTAAGAAGCGCTTCTCTAATAAACCCTGAAAGAACTGCGGGCGGGAAACACGCGCGCGCCGCCGCGCGCGCATGTCGAAATCCATACAACACCACTGTCATTTGCTTGGGCCGTTCAAAACCTGGCTGCTCAAAACTATACAAACCTGTCTGCCGTTCCAACAGAAATGGAGGAGATATCTGCGCGAACTGGTCGAAATCATGTGACACCGCTGGAATTTGAAACGCATTTGATATAGCATTCGGGCATCTTTAAGTCGGCGGCGCAGAGGGTCCTCAAGCGAGGGCAGCAGATGGAAGCGTGAATAGCGATCGAGCGTAGTCGAAAGCACAGTGAACGAGACGACGAACACTGGGATGCAAACGATGGGTGGTGGACTAGAGGGCCTGTAAACCCAAAAAGAGAGCGTGCAGCGGCCAGAAAACTGAGGAGCAAGCTCAATCCAAAGTGAAAGCATTCGGGCCACACGCGCGCGCATGACGAACACACCCTCGCACACCCGCCACCTCTGTGAAGCACTGTCATGCGGGCCACACGTGTGCGTATCCGCCGCGCACGTGAAAATATGTTGCCCCACATCCTGAGTGGGGTTCTTGATTTCCCAGAACACTTTCTGCTTCTTCTTATTATCATTTTTATTGTTATCATCATTCCTGCCATCCTCCGCCTTCTCCTCCTCCTCCTCATCCTCCTCCTTCTCATCATCATCATCATCAGCATCATCGTCATCATCATCATCGTCATCATCAGCATCGTCATCAGCAGCACCATCATCGTCATAATAATAACCACCATCATCATAATCATCATCATCAGCAGCATCGCTCGTCATCATCATCATCATCATCATCATCATCATCATCATCATCATCATCAGCATCATCATCAGCAGCAGCATCATCATCCCCTCTTCTTCATGCAAGCTCCATATCCCCTTCTCTTGCAAGCCCCCACCGCTCCATCAGCAACTAAGGTGTCGTGCCCTCACACTCCACCAACCTCACCATTTCCACCCCGCCAGCCGTGGTCTCTGTCACATGTCGCGCCCTCCCCGCTAGACCAGCCTCTTGCAAGCCTTCCCCAGTCCACCAGTCCACCAGTCTCTCAGGGCCCTCCCCACTCCACCAGCCTCTCACGTTGCGTGCCCTCCCCACTCCACCAGCCTCGCCAGTGTCACCTGGCCCTCTGGGGAGGCCCCGCCAAACCGCGGCAGGCATCAGGATTCCGTGTTCGTTATCAAGTGTCGTGCCCTCCTCACTCCACCAGCCTCGCCAATGCCTCCGGGCCCTTCAGGGAGGCCCCACCAGACCGCGGCAGGCATCGGAAGACCGTGTCATTCATCAGGTTTCCTGCTCTCCCCATTCCAACAGCCTCGCCAGTGTCGCCTGGCCCTCAAGGGAAGCCCCGCCAAACCGCGGCAAGAATCGGGACACCGTGACAGTTATCAGGTTCCGTGCCCTCCCCACTCCACCAGCCTCTCCAGTACAGCCTGGCCCTCCAGGGAGGCCCCGCCGAGGCAGGACTCGGGACACCGTGTTATTCATCAGGTTCCGTACCCTCCCCACTCCACCAGCCTCGCCAGTACCGCCTGGCCCTCCAGGGAGGCCCCGCCAGACCGCGGCAGGCATCCGAAGACCATTGTTGTTTCAGGTTTCCTGCTGCCCTCCCCACCCCACCAGCCTCGCCAGTGCCACCTCCCCGCCAGACCGAGGCAAGCATCGGAGCATCGTATGTTTTAGATTAGGTTCTCTGTACCCTCACCACTCCAGCAGCCTCACTGATGCAACTTTGCCCTGTAGGGATACGCCGGAAAAAAAACAGGATGGGGAAATGAATGGTGATGATAATGGCACGTAGGAGGAGTGACGCAGAGCTGGAGAGGGAGGAGAAGGCCTGACGACATATGCGGCATGCGGACGAGGAGCGCAGGAGTGCGGGAACGGAGGGAGTTCAGGAGCAGGGGGTAGACGAAAAAGCAGTTCGAGGAGAGGCTGGGTCGTTGCTTCCAACGTTCTGGGCGTTCAATTAGTTTGCTGCTGAGCTGCTGTTGTGCCCCCTTGACCCCGCGACCCGTTTAAAACCCTCATGCGGCGAACTCCGAAAAAAACATCATGCCCTGAACATGTCAGCACATACGTGTTCAAACGCATTCGAAAACCCTACGGCTTTCCTACATCAGCCCAGAAACCTTTGCATGCATATATATATATATACACGCATTTACTTATCGCCAACATTATCGTCATCATCATCGCTAACATCGTCATTGCCATCGTTATCGTCATCGTCGACATCGTCGCCGTCATAATCACCGCATCCACCATCATCACCATCATCATCAGCAGCATCATCCTTACCATCATCATACTTATCATCATCCTCATCATCGTCACCATCGTCGTCATCATCACCACCGTCATCATCGTCGTCGTCGATGTCGTAAATTCCTGCGCGCGCACTTCCTGAACATTATCATCACCAACACTACCGTCATCAGAGTCGCCAGCGTCATCGTTGCCACCGTCAAGATCATCACCATCAGTTTCGTCACCATCACCATCGTCGTCGTCGACACCGCCCCCGCCGTCTTCATGAACAGCATCATCGCCATTGGCATCGTCGTTGTCGTCGCCCAGTTGAATTTTGCCAGCAAGTTGCGTGTGGGCGGGTGGGATGTACGCACGAGGTTCGGAAATGGTTTCGCGCGGATGTTGCGCGGCAGGAGCATTGCACTCCAAATATTACGCCATACAAACATTCCTTCCTGCAGAAGAATCAACTCTACCGCTTCACCGCGGGATTACTGGGACTTCCTGGGATATCGCAATTACCTCATATGACCCTGCCCCATCGGCACTTCTATGTGAAATCAGACCATTCCAGCCAGGCCTGTATCGACCCCCCTCAACCTTGTCAAATAATACCATGCGCGCGCACTCGTGAACCTCAAAAGATCATGCTTCAAGAATCCCTTACAACATACACACACAACAAAAAAGTCCAGGCACGCGCACATACGTCGAAAGCATACCAGACATATGAGTTCTACAAGCATTCCGACATAAGCACCAAAAAACACATTGGTCTTCAGTACACCAACCCGCCCTGACACGCCCGCTTGCCAACGCGGCCTTTGAGACACGCTAGGGAGGTCCCAGCGGTAAGCGCCATCGCGGCCGCACCAGTTGTGTCAAACCAGCTGGTCGCTCCGTAGAGACGCGCTAGCGCGGCCGTAGAGACGCGCTAGCAAATTCCAATCGGGAACCGCAATCGTGGCCGAGTGGGTTTTGCCAGACAAGTTGCGGGTGGGTGGGTGGGGTGTTTGCACGAGCAGAACAGTTGACGACCTCAAAACGGTCGAAGCGAATTGCGCCACTGTGCCGCGAGGCACGAATTAGAGTGTCATCAGGTCGATTGGGCCCTCCGACCTTGGTCCTGAGGGCTGGAAACTTAGGGGGAGGGGGGGGGGGGGGGACGGACCCCACAGTGCCTAATCCGTGGGGCTTCCCGCGTGTTGTCGCGCACTGGCGCGTGTTCTCGCGCTACTCGCCCAGAGGCCAGGGCGCCCCATAACGGACCAAGAAGGCCCCAAGAGGCTCCCAGGACAGGCGACGAGGAGTATTGGGGCGATGTGGGGGGGGCCTCATGGGTCGTCTTGGACGGTGCGAAAACCCAATGGGCGAGAACGCTAGGTATGGGCGGTGTGCGCAGGGAATGGGGCAAGTGTTGCATTTTAGGGCCTTCATGGGGACCCTCTTGGAGTCCTCTCGGGGCGTCTTGGGGGCCTCTTGGGCCGTCTCGAAGCCATACTGAGCATCTTGGAAAGCTCATGGGCCGTCTCGAGAGCCTATTGGACCGTCTTGGAAGCTTCTTGGGACACTCGCGGCCCTAGCGGAGCCCTGGGAGGCCCCCGACCCAAAATTGGGATTTGACTGCTGCTGGTTTCGGACCTCCAAGCCCATCCACAGCGAACCGTGTATATATACATGTATATATATATACACATACTTCTTGCATCCTACACCACCTAGCTTGCACCAGATAGATGGCACCACCTCGATTGTACCAAATAGCATGCACCACACAGAACCACCTTGGTTGCACCCCGTAAGCTGCACGCCTAGAGTGCAAGAACACAGTTTGGGGCCCATGACGGCAAACCTTGCATAGTGTGCGTTAGCCGTACTATATTGTATGTATGTGTGTGCTTAAATGTTTGGTTGATTGCTTTGAGGTACTTCGGCGAACCTTGGCGATGCCGAAGTCCCCCATCTTCAGGCTGCCGCCTCTGGAGAGGAAGAAGTTGGACGACTTGAGGTCGCGGTGCAGCACGCGCTTGCTATGCACGTACGCCAGGGCCAGCAGGGCCTGGCACATCCAGACGAGTATCTGGTCTTCTGGAATGTGCCGTTTGGAGACAGATGCCTCCTCAACCTTTGATTTCAAATCCCCTCCCTCGCAAAAGGCCATCAAGATGCAGAGACACCCTTCGTCAATGAACATGTCGCGATATCGCACAATGTAAGGATGTTTGAGAGAAGCTAATAGTTGACCCTCGTTTTGAGCTTCCTGTCTCTCCTTCACAGAAGCCTGGCGCACGTCAATCACCTTGCAGACGACCTTTGAGCCATCACTCGTGTGGCAGAGGATGGCCTGCCCAAACGAGCCCTGGCCGATCTTCGCGACTTCGATCAAACAGTGCTTCTTGAGCATCTGACCCACTGGCTGCGGAGTGAGCGCCATGGCCTACATGCTCCCAAGCCTCCCGCCACTGGCTGCCTGGCGGCGAATTCAACCTGAGCCGAGAAAGGGCAAAGACCGCACCAGGAGGAGGAGGAGGAGGAGGAGGAGGAGGAGGAGGAGGAGGAGGAGGAGCGGGCGAGAGGGAGGGAGGGAGGCGCAGAGGAGGTCGACAAGGAAGAGGATGCGCAGGAGGAGGGGCGAGGCGAGGAGGAGAGCCAGGGCATGGGCGAGGGACGTGGCGACAGGCAGCGAGGAAGGACAGGGGCGAGCAACCGGCTATAGACTCGACTAAACGGTGTTTTCCGTTTCCGTGCCGTTTTCGGTTTCTCTCCTTCAAGTATGATAAACAAGCCCAGGTGTGATATTATAAAACTGCGCAAGTGTAATATTATTTTAATATATGTGTTATACTATAAAACATGTGTGATACAAACTGTGGTTTAGAAAAACTTGTGACACATTTGTGTGGTAAACGTTCTTGATCATACTATCACACTTGAGCGGATCTCGGATCTTCGTTCCGCCCTTGCCGAAAAACTAAGTATCAAAGCGAAAACGGCCCACAAAATCGCAAAAACAAAAAACCTGTGGCTCGCGCCCTACCGCGGCGACGGCAGAGGGGGCGGCGAGGCCCAATATTCAGACCAGCGGTGGAGGAGAGGCGGCGGAAGAGGGCAGACCCGAGCATCTGAAGACGACGACGACGACGACGACGACGACGACGGACCCCTCCAGACGACGACGACGGCGACGACCCCCTCCAGGACCTCGGAAGAGGGGGCGGGACGGGCCCCAGCATCTGACGCCGCGACGTTCGCCGACCCCACGAGCCAGAGGCGTCCAGGCAAGACGCGGGGCTGGCACGGGGATGAAGAAAAATGGAAAGCGCCTTCCACTTGAGAGAGCGCGAGATCTCAGGCTCGACCTGCACTCAGCGAGCGAAGAACGGCATAACATATACTTTTCCGCCTTTGGGACGCCTGTCACAGGACGACTCGTAACTCTGTACCCCCGCTAGGGGTATAAACTTTCCGGCCGCAGTGAGGCAGGCGCCCCTGGTGGCGGAAAAGCGTACTCTATACCGTCCTTCGTCCACAAACGCGTGGGGCCCCCTCATGGGGCAGTACTGAAGCTGTGATGGGGTGCTCTCAGGCTCCCTGGTGGCCCTCTTGGGGCCCTCTCGGGGCCATCTTGGGGCCAGTCGGGGACAGGCCCCGACACATGACGTCGTGACAATCTCGCATCATGCAGAAATCACGGGCTGATCTCCGGATCCCAAGACAAGGAACCAAAGGTCCGCATCTCGCAGCTCGCAGCCGAGTGGGGGGAGGCAGGGATTAAGGGAGGGGGGCAGATACGAGGAAAGGGAGGAGGAGGAGGAGAAGGAGAAGGAGATGGTGGGGATGGAGGTGGAGGTGGAGGTGGATGTGGAGATGGAGATGAAGGAATGACGAGGAGGAGGAGGAGGAGGAGGAGGAGGAGGAGGAGGAGGAGGAGGAGGAGGAGGGGGAGGAAGAAGAAGAGGAGGAGAATGAGGAGGAAGAGGAGTTGGTGGTGGAGGTGGAAGAAGACAAGGAGGGAGATGGGAGGAGGAGGAGGAGGAGGAGGAGGAGGAGAAGGAGCCAGGGGATAGGAAGAGCTCGTGGAGGGGGGGGGGGATGGGCAGCGCGGCAGCAAGCCGCAGGCGGGCAGGAGGTGGGAGGCCGCCCGGGCCAGCCTGCGCCACCGCGCGCCACATCTGCTCCCGGATGGAGGACAGCAGCGCAGAGTCCCGGACGGCGGCCTCGGCGGACGGCTTGGGGCACCCCATAGGGGCACGGGGGGGAGGCGGGCTTTCTTCCTTTCGCAACGCGGGCCCCAGAACTCTCGACCACATCCACGGGCCAGCTGTGCTCGCCGCGGGCCGCTGCCTCGGGACGGCACCCAGGGGAGGGGGGCCGAGAGGCCAGGCCCCTCGGAGGCCCCAGGACGAGGGAGAGAAGGCACCAGTAATGTGTTGTTTGTTCGCGACGCGTGGGAGTCTGGGTCCTCCTCCTGCTCTGGCTCCTCCTCCTCCTCCTCCTCCTCATCATCATCATCATCATCATCATCCTGCTCCTGCTCCTGTTCCTGCTCCTGCTCCTGATCCTCCTCCTCCTCCTCCTCCTCCTCCTCCTCCTCCGCCTCCTCCTCCTGCTCCTGATCCTGCTCCTGCTCTTCCTCCTCCTCCTCCTCCTCCTCCTCCTCCTCCTCCTCCTCCTCCTCCTCCTCCTCCTCCTCCTGCGCCAGCGCCCCAACCGGTCTGCCGCCGAACGGCGGACGCAGTTCCGCCGCGCTGAAGGCGCGCGGTCGAGCTGCTGCTGGCGGCGTCCGCCGAGCTGCAGCCATCGTAGCGGGGTGCCCACCCGCATGGTGGCCGCCCTGGCTGCGGCTTTGGCGGAGCCCGCGGCCGCGGCGAGTGCGCCGCCGCAGGCAGCTGGAGAGGGCGATCGAGAGCGAGATCGTGGAGAGCCCATGCCAGCGGGCTCCGAGGAGACGCTGGGCGACCTGGTGGCGGTGCAGTCGGCGGCCCCTCGGACGCTCGAGCGGGTGGATACCGACGCGGACATCGAGGCGGAGCTGCAGGCGCTGAAGGCGGCTGCGACCGCGCCTTCGCAGAAGGCCACGCAGGGCACCGACGAGCCGCCGCTGCGAGCGCCCATTTGGGGCCCCCGCGGCCTGGAGCGCCGCGCGTCGCGCGGCCGGCCCGCGCTGGCCCAGCCACGGCCGCCGCTGGGGCCAGGCGAGCGGGCGAAGTTCATGACGCTGCGGGCGCAGAGTCGTTTGGCGGCTGCCGAGGCGCGGCTCACGGCGTCCGAGGCCGCCATGGCGGCTGCGGGCCTTCCTGTCGCTCATCAGCCTGGTGCTCGTCGGCCTGCCGTTCCTTCTCTTGGAGTCGCTCTGGGCGGCGGGCGGGCCAGTCCAGCGTAAGTACGCCTCTTCGGGGGGGCAGTACCGCTGAGAGCTCCTAGGGGAGCGGTGTGAGTACGCCCCTACGGGGGGTCGGTACCGCCCCTCCCCTACCCCTCGGGAGAGAGCTCCTCGGGGAGCGGCGGCGCGCTGCGGGGCGTCGCGCCGCTCATCGTGAAGTTCGTCCTGGAGATCGTGGCGTCGCTCCGTGGGGGGGCCGCGCCTTCGGGCGGGCGCACTCGCTTCGCCTTTACTGCTCACTCTGCCCACTCTGCCCAGCATCCCTCCCTCCTCCTCCAGGCGCTCTAGCCTCCGTCTCCAGCCCGCCCGTGTCCGTCAGGCGCAGGAGCAGGCCGCCGAAGACCGCGACGGCGTCCTTCCTGTCGCGCGTCGTGCCCTGGGGCAGCGGCACGCGAGAGAGGGGGGGGGGGGACTTTCACACACACACACACACTCACACACACTCACACACTCACACACTCTCTCTCTCTCTCGCACACACAAACAAACAAACAAACAAACAAACGAACGAACGAACGGACAAACAAACAAACAAACAAAGAACAATGAGGACAGTGAGGACAGTGAGGACAGTGCCGAGAGCGTGCAGGTGAATCACGAGCACGCCTCGAAAAGGAAAAGGGACGAGAGAGAGACCCTCATCCAACAAGGGGCACTCTCCGCGCCGTGCGCGGGGCCGGGGAGCAACGGTGCGAGGGTCACTAACGGCGCAACGCCGGGCAGTCCCCACTCGCACCGCGCCCCCCGTTGGGAAGACAAACCCACGCCTGTACTTCCGCCCACTATGCAGGTGCCTCGGGCTCGGGCGCCTGCTGCGGCATCGCAGGCTCCCCGAGCTCCGAGAAGACGAGCGGCTCGAGGGGCTCGCCCGTCTTGGGATGCAGGCCCCTTCGAGCCTGCTCGAGCATCGACGCGATAGCTCCGTCCCCCCCACTCCCAGCTCCCGCCGACCCCGTCCCAGCCCTCTTGCACGCTCGAGACAGGCCGACCGACAGCCGATTGGGGCGCACCGCGTGCGCCCCGCACTTTACACAGATCAAAACTCGATCCAAGGCCTGGACCTGGTGTCCTGGCCCGACCTCCTGGGGGTCGCATGCACGGGAGGCCAGAGACTTCAACGACGAGGCCGTCGCTGCAAGCCTCCAGCAGGCACGACATCGAATCGCTCCCCCAGCGAAGACCACAAAGTCGTGATCGGTCGGCCGCCGCGGACGGCGGGGCCGAAAGACAGCCTTCGGAGGCGCACGGAGTATCGGGGTGGAGAGGCGGGCCACGCGCTCGGCAGCCCAGGCCAGACAACGCATCGTGTCCTGGGCCCGAAGCAGAGAAAATTTGTGAGCCTTGACCACGGAGGTGGATCCAAGGAAATCTGCCGCAGCCACGCGGGCGAAAACATCAGCCCACATATTACCGAAAAAATGCTCCAGGGGCTCCTGGGAAGCCAGGCAGGCATCAAACCCCTCGATGACGGTCCGATGGGCCTTCGTCCAAACAAACACGGGCCTGACAGGGTCGCCTCTATACAGCTCGTGGATGCTCCGCCAGATGGACGCGTGAGGCGCTCTGGCAGAAGCATGACGACCCTCCCAGGCCATTCCCTCGACCTGCAGCTGTAAATGATCAGTCACGTACGTGGCTGGCCTCTGGGCCCTCTGCAGGGCCTTGAGACCAGCAACGCGCTCGGCCCTGGGCACCGTCTGGATAGGGCCCCCCAGGCTCCCGAACAAAGCTTTGTATGGCCACAGGTCTCGGGTCAATGCCACGACGGCCCAGCCACAGCGCCGTTCCTCAGGGAAATCACTTTCAAGACAGGACCCGTCCCCGTACAACTTCGACGGCCACGGCATGTCGATCGCCCCCCACTCGCGCTCAGCCTGAGCACGTGCAGGCAGCGGCCTGAAAACAGGCCTCAGGGGCAGCGCGTAGAGCACGTCGATGGCCGAGAAGTCCTGCACCTGGCCCCCGTCGCGCCACGGGGCTGCCTCCAGGATGTCCTTCCTCCTCTTGGCCACCTCCTCGGGGTACGGCTCCGTCTCCTCGTCCTCCTGCTGCTGATGCAATACCTTGCAGCCGAAGATCTCATGCTCGAGGTCGCAGCAGGCCTCCCCGCAGAACTCGCACGAACCGTCGCCGCCGTAGCCAGCCTGCATGCGGCGCTGCGGCGACCAGAACCCGTTGGACTGCAGCTTGGCCAGAGCCCCTCTGTGGCCAGGCGCCAAGGAGGCGTGTCCCAGTCGAAGCGCACGAAGCCACACATGCTGCTGCCGCCTGCCGTCACCATCGGCTGGGGGCGCCTCAGGCAGCTGGTCGAGGATACGATGGCTCTGCCAACGGTCGAGGCTGCGACGCAGGAAAAACAGCACCTCACTGGGACAATACTGCAGCAAACTGATATGCAGGCCCTCATCGTCAACCAAGATTGTAGAACTTGCCATGTTCCAGTTGACTCTCCTGAGGGACAACCACAAGGCCGACAGCGGGCCCTGCGCACTGGCCCACGTGACGTGAGTGTGGCGGGCTTCCCAGGAGTCACGCAAGCCCATCCAGGCCCGCTGCAGTCGGGAGAGCGTCACACGCCCATCCCACACCCACGCCGCGTACTGCCCCACGATGCTGAAGGTAGCGTGGAATATGGGGTCGAAGTTCCACTGCTGCGCGGCCAGGTACAGCGTCAGGGAGCCCGACCCCTTGTAGCCACAGAAGACGCCAGCCATGGTCCTCATCTGCTGCAGCTCCGTGTCGCTGATGCCGCTGACCGTGGCTCCGTGCCCCACGGATGGCAGCACACCCGTGGCCCAGAGCCGAGCCGCCCGCTGTCGTCCTGCTCCCTTCTGCAATGCTCGAACGCTGGCCTTCTTGCCGTGCATGGCCTTCAGGCGTCCCTTCTGCACGGCCCTTGTGGCCGACGACCCAGCTAGGTCGTGGCCAAGATACCGCATGTGCCTCTTGCCAGCGATCTTCAGCAGCCTAGCGTACTTCTGAAAGTGGTAGCTGGTGCGCCTGGACGTCGTAAGGTGCCCAGACTTATCCATCTGCAGCACCAGCCCGAGGGGCCGGACAGCCCTGCAGAACGCACGAGTGGCAATGGCCATTTCTCGCACCCCGCTCGGGTCGTTGCCGACCCAGCACAGCGCGACGTCGTCCACCAAGTCCTTGGGCTGAACCTGAGGAGCGACCGACATCGTCTGGCGAATGCTGCGAGTCAACAACACCATGAGAAGCGTAGTGGCGTGGGTGCAGCCTGCCAGGATGCCCTGATACGCCCTGCGCGCCACTGAATACGAAGAATACGAGTACACCGAACGCAGCTGCTGGTACATCTGCACAAGCATGAACGCCATTCGCATAGGATATCCATTGGCCCTGCACTCCAACAAAATGGCATCATGCCTGACCAGCTCGTAGCATTTGAGCATGTCCAGCAGCACAATGATGGCGTCGTCATCGCACAGGGTCGCCATCTCCTTGGTGAGCGCCAAATCAAAGGCCGCATCACTCGACGACTTGCCTCCAGTGTGGCCCCAGACCTCTGGGAGCGCATGGGCCTTCTCCCACGCTGCCGAGACAGGCCGCCTCGCCCGTCCCCAGATCCTGACCAGCGTGTTCATCAGCACAATCAGGCGCTCCCCACCCCCTGGCTTGGGGAGTCTCACGAGCTTCGAGAGGAATCTGCCGTCTGGCCACAGCAGGAGGTGCTCGCACCGCTCGAACAATGAAGAGGAGGAGGAGGAGGAGGAGGGAGGAACAATGAAGAGGAGGAAGGAAAAGGAGGAGGGAGAAGGGACGAGGGAGGAGGGAGGAGGAGGAGGAGGAGGAGGAGGAGGAGGAGGAGACACGGGGGGAGATTCCAGCGTGCTTTGCATGTTCGCCTTTTTGGTTGTCTGGGGGTGGCTCGTCGCCACGACCGGACTCGCCTCGGGATCCTAAACAGAACGCGCTTCAGGGCAGCCTCAGGTTCGAGGGTCGGCTCGACGGAGGAGGCCAGATGAGGTGAAGGATAAGCAAGAAGGGGAGTAGAACAGGAGGATGGCACGTGTGAAGAAGAAAAGAGAAGAGGAGGAGGAGGACGATGATGATGACGACGACGACGACGACGACGACGACGGCGACGACGACGACGACGAGGGCGACGGCGACGACGACGACGACGAGGACGACGTGGAGAGTCAGGAACTACGGGATTAGAGTCGACCAACGGGCGGCTCATGACAAAGAAATCTAAAAAATATTCTGTCCTGCGCCCTCATCGTACACATGAGGACTGTTATGGGATCGAACCGGAAAGCCCCATACAAAATGTCGAACTGCAGTGCACTCCGAAATTCTGACGGGGTGACATTACAGTCGCCCCCACCAGATAAGGGATTGTTCATTCCAAAATGTGCTCACCTAGCTGTTGGATAGTATGAGAGTTGACCCCTCCCATCTTCACACTGCCCTGAAGATAAACGGAATACATACTGACCACACCAACCTCACAGCGTCTGAGACAGCAATGTGAAAGATGGCGTGCTCGGAGAGAGGATCCTCGGCGCGAGCAGCTCCACGCATCCAGGTAACTCCTAATCAGTATGCATGTCCCCCTAACGGGTACTAGACCAGTCCAAAAAACCCAGGCTCCGACCAAAAACTCCTCCATCCGAAGTGTAAGAGTTTGACCTTAAGAGCTGTCTGATGGTTCACTGTCTGCTGATGCTCCTGGATCAGCACGTCCACGGCAGACGCTTCGGCAAGAAACTGTCCAACAGTGACCCAACAGTTGCCATTGTACGTAACAACATCCACTTCACAGTTTCCTGGTGCCATGTTCCTCCCCGTTCGGGATGTGTTACCATTCCTGGTGTTCCTCCTCCAGGGTCCTTGCACGAGAGGCGTGGTCCCCAAACTCCCAGAGGATCCCTCCTGGGTGGTGGTACTGGGCTGCCTGGGCATCGTTGCTGGATGGGCTGCTGGGGATGCGCGAGGCGTCAAGAAGTGTAAAGCACTGGTCGAGAGGCACCCGCAGAGGGATCACGATGGGCTGCCCTGCGGCTTCTCGCCCAGCCCGTGCACACTCAGCCTTCGTGCTACCATAAGGAACGCTGGATAAGGAACGAAGACGCTTTTCTGGCCACGGCGAGCCTCGGCTACGAACAGGTTCCGCCGCCTAGAACTAAGAAACGGGCCGAAAACCAGGGCCCCTCCTGAGCCCACAATGGTCCCTATTTCACGGTCCTGATTGCACCCCGCCCTCCCCTCCTGTTGCTCCTCCCCCTCCTCGTCTCCTCCCTCCTATTGCGCGTGGCAGCTGCCCCTGCTTCGGGTCGCTCGCTCGCGAGCCGGCTCGGAGCAGCTGCACTGGCGGCAGCGATAGGAGCCTGGGCAGGAGGAGGGAGAGGAGGATGAGCAGGAGCTTGGGCAGCCGCAGCAGCAGCTGGAGCGGGAGGAGGATGGAGAGGACGAGGAACAGCGGCAAGCAAAAAAAAAAAACAGCAGCAGCAGCAGCAGCAGCAGCAGCAGCAGCAGCAGCAGCTGGGGCTCGAAGGAGCAAGGGGCGGGGAGGGGAGCAGGAGGGCGGCGTTCTCATCTCTGCCCCCATGGGCTCTCAAAAAATACTGTGGCCGGAGCTGCCGCGGAACCCCGCCGACTTAAAGGTGCGTCGACGACGGCGGTGGCCGCCTGAGAGCTTGGAACCTTGAAGCCCCCAGTCTGACCCCTGTGCCCCTCCCGAGACGGGAGCTCACTTGGAGAAGCTACCCGCCTGGGCCAGCCTCTTCAGCCCCTCCATTGTCCTGTCCACGCGCTGGGCCCTGTCCGGCGCCGCCTTGATCTTCGCGTCAAAGCTCGCCAGCGTCCTCCTGGCCTGCTCCCGCTCCTGGTGCTCCATGCGGGACCTGGCCACGAAGCTGATCTGCCCGACCTTGCCGGGGCGAAGCCGATCCCGCTGCACGAAGTCGACTTTGAGCGGGGCGTTCATCCCCTGCTCCTCAAGGTAGTTCGGGCTGCTGGCGCCGGCGCCGGCCCATGCCACCTGGGCCCCCGCGAGCGCGGCCACCAGCCCGAGCGCGAAGCCGGCCAGCACGGGGGCCGCGCCCTCCCCGCCCGCGCCCGTCTCCGGGGCGGGCACCTGCTGCTGCAGCTGCGCACGCAGGGCGCCGTGGGCGGGGCCCGCGCGCACGCGGCCCGGCTGCACGAACGCGCCGCCGCAGGCGGCGGCGGCCACGAGGGCGACCGCGAGGGCGGCAGCGCGGGGGGCCATCGCCATAGCACGGGCAGGGCGGGGCGAGCTGTCGGCGGGGCGGTCCGGGCAAACAAAGCGCCTGCGGTCAAGGGGCGGCCCCGAGGAGGCGGGGATGGGGGTGGAGTGGAGCAGCTCGTGACGGGGGATCGGAGGAGCAGCCAACGCCAACGGAGTCCTACCAGCCCTCTTGGCGTGGGTGCTTCGGGGAGTATAGTCTTCCAACCTCTCTCTTCCCCTTCGGGGAGAGGTTCACCTCCCTCTCCTTGGGTCTGGAGGGGGTAGGTTCGCGGGGCGCTGGAACGTCCAAGATGGCCCAAGATGGCTCCAAGACGGCGCCAGATAGCCCAAGATGGGCTCCAAGATGGTGCGAGATAGCCTGAGGTGGCTCTGAAAAAGCCTCCCACAGGCCTCCAAGAGACTCCATGACCAACCACCCCACGACGGCTCCAAGTGGCCACGGAGCCTCCCAAGGACCCCCGCCCCTCGAGAGGCCAAAACCCTGTCGAGACCTAGAAACATCCAATGTGCTTGTCTTCTCGCCTTTTCGCTTCCGATGGGCCATTGAGGCCTCAAAATGGCTCCAAGACCGCCCGAGAGAGCCCCTAGAGGGGCCCAAGAGGGGCCCAAGACGGTCACAGGAGCGCTTCAAGAGGCAAGCTTTCGGCCTCCGACGAGGCAGGGCCGTAAATCGAGAACCCCCCCCTATTTCATCGATGGCCCCCAAAAGCGCCCCCAAGGCCCCCAAGAGGGGCCCAAGAGGGCCCCCTAAATGGCCCAAGTAAGCTGTTAAGAGGCTCCCATATCGACAGATCCGCGAAGGCATTTAGGGCTGACTCCTGGGCATGCTCAGGCTGCTCCCGATCTTCGGTCTGACAACTGCGCCCCCCCCGCCCCCTGTATGTTCCACTGCGTGCTCCCACACGTCCCTGATCAATGCAACTCGCCTGGGAATCGTTGCTGGATGGGCTGCTGGGGATGCGCGAGGCGTCAAGAAGTGTAAAGCACTGGTCGAGAGGCCCCCGCAGAGGGATCACGGTGGGCTGCCCTGCGGCTTCTCGCCCAGCCCGTGCACAGTCAGCCTTCGTGCTACCATAAGGAACGCTGGATAAGGAACGAAGGGCCTTTTCTGGCCACGGCGAGCCTCGGCTACGAACAGGTTCCGCCGCCGAGAACTAAGAAACGGCCCGAAAGCCAGGGCCCCTCCTGAGCCCACAGTGGTCCCTATTTCAGCGTCCTGATTGCACCCCGCCCTCCCCTCCAGTTGCTCCTCCCCCTCCTCGTCTCCTCCCCCCTATTGCGCTGTTCCCACCTCAGTCGGTCGCCTTCCCATGCCCGTCGTGGCAGCTGCCCCTGCTTCGGGTCGCTTGCTCACGAGCCGGCTCGGAGCAGCAGCACTGGCGGCGGCGATAGGAGCCTGGGCAGGAGAAGGGAGAGGAGGAGGAGCAGGAGCTTGGGCAGCCGCAGCAGCAGCTGGAGCGGGAGGAGGATGGAGAGGACGAGGAACAGCGGCAAGCAGCAGCAGCAGCAGCAGCAGCAGCAGCAGCAGCAGCAGCAGCAGCAGCAGCAGCAGCAGCAGCTGGGGCTCGAAGGAGCAAGGGGCGGGGAGGGGAGCAGGAGGGCGGCGTTCTCATCTCTGCCCCCATGGGCTCTCAAAAAATACTGTGGCCGGAGCTGCCGCGGAACCCCGCCGACTTAAAGGTGCGTCGACGACGGCGGTGGCCGCCTGAGAGCTTGGAACCTTGAAGCCCCCAGTCTGACCCCTGTGCCCCTCCCGAGACGGGAGCTCACTTGGAGAAGCTACCCGCCTGGGCCAGCCTCTTCAGCCCCTCCATTGTCCTGTCCACGCGCTGGGCCCTGTCCGGCGCCGCCTTGATCTTCGCGTCAAAGCTCGCCAGCGTCCTCCTGGCCTGCTCCCGCTCCTGGTGCTCCATGCGGGACCTGGCCACGAAGCTGATCTGCCCGACCTTGCCGGGGCGAAGCCGATCCCGCTGCACAAAGTCGACTTTGAGCGGGGCGTTCATCCCCTGCTCCTCAAGGTAGTTCGGGCTGCTGGCGCCGGCGCCGGCCCATGCCACCTGGGCCCCCGCGAGCGCGGCCACCAGCCCGAGCGCGAAGCCGGCCAGCACGGGGGCCGCGCCCTCCCCGCCCGCGCCCGTCTCCGGGGCGGGCTCCTGCTGCTGCAGCTGCGCACGCAGGGCGCCGTGGGCGGGGCCCGCGCGCACGCGGCCCGGCTGCACGAACGCGCCGCCGCAGGCGGCGGCGGCCACGAGGGCGACCGCGAGGGCGGCAGCGCGGGGGGCCATCGCCATAGCACGGGCAGGGCGGGGCGAGCTGTCGGCGGGGCAGTCCGGGCAAACAAAGCGCCTGCGGTCAAGGGGCGGCCCCGAGGAGGCGGGGATGGGGCTGGATCAACTTGTGACGGGGGAGCGGAGGAGCAGCCAAGGCCAACGGAGTCCCACCAGCCCTCTTGGCGTGGGTGCTTCGGGGAGTATAGTCTTCCAACCTCTCTCTTCCCCTTCGGGGAGAGGTTCACCTCCCTCTCCTTGGGTCTGGAGGGGGTAGGTTCGCGGGGCGCTGGAACGTCCAGGCTCCAAGACGGCGCCAGATAGCCCAAGATGGGCTCCAAGATGGTGCGAGATAGCCCGAGGTGGCTCTGAAAAAGCCTCCCACATGCCTCCAATAAGCTCCATGACGAACAAGTGGCCACGAAGCCTCCCAAGGACCCCCCCCCTCGAGAGGCCAAAACCCTGTCGAAACCTAGAAACATCCAATGTGCTTGTCTTCTCACATTTTCGCTTCCGATGGGCCCTTGAGGCCTCAAAATGGCTCCAAGACCGCCCGAGAGAGACCCTAGAGGGGTCCAAAAGGGGCCCAAGAGGGCCACAGGGCGCTTCAAGAGGCAAGCTTTCGGCCTCCGACGAGGCAGGGCCGTAATCAAGAACCCCCCCTTCTTTGATCGATGGCCCCCAAAAGCGCCCCCAAGGCCCCCAAGAGGGGCCCAAGAGGCTCCCAGTTCGACAGATCCGCGAAGGCATTTAGGGCTGACTCCTGGGCCTGCTCAGGCTGCTCCCGATCTTCGGTCTGACAACTGCGCCCCCCCCCGCCCCCTGTATGTTCCACTGCGTGCTCCCACACGTCCCTGATCAATGCAACTCGCCTGGGAATCGTTGCTGGATGGGCTGCTGGGGATGCGCGAGGCGTCAAGAAGTGCAAAACACTGGTCGAGAGGCCCCCACAGAGGGATCACGGTGGGCTGCCCTGCGGCTTCTCGCCCAGCCCGTGCACAGTCAGCCTTCGTACTACCATAAGGAACGCTGGATAAGGAACGAAGAAGCTTTTCTGGCCACGGCGAGCCTCGGCTACGAACAGGTTCCGCCGCCTAGAACTAAGAAACGGACCGAAAACCAGAGCCCCTCCTGAGCCCACAGTGGTCCTTATTTCAGCGTCCTGATTACACCCCGCCCTCCCCTCCCGTTGCTCCTCCCCCTCCTCGTCTCCTCCCCCCTATTGCGCTGTTCCCACCTCAGTCGGTCGCCTTCCCATGCCCGTCGTGGCAGCTGCCCCTGCTTCGAGTCGCTTGCTCACGAGCCGGCTCGGAGCAGCAGCACTGGCGGCAGCGATAGGAGCCTGGGCAGGAGGAGGGAGAGGAGGAGGAGCAGGAGCTTGGGCAGCCGCAACAGCAGCTGGAGCGGGAGGAGGAGGAGAGGACGAGGAACAGCAGCAAGCAGCAGCAGCAGCAGCAGCAGCAGCAGCAGCAGCAGCAGCAGCAGCTGGGGTTCGAAGGAGCAAGGGGCGGGGAGGGGAGCAGGAGGGCGGCGTTCTCATCTCTGCCCCCATGGGCTGTCAAAAAATACTGTGGCCGGAGCTGCCGCGGAACTCCGCCGACTTAAAGGTGCGTCGACGACGGCGGTGGCCGCCTGAGAGCTTGGAACCTTGAAGCCCCCAGTCTGACCCCTGTGCCCCTCCCGAGACGGGAGCTCACTTGGAGAAGCTACCCGCCTGGGCCAGCCTCTTCAGCCCCTCCATTGTCCTGTCCACGCGCTGGGCCCTGTCCGGCGCCGCCTTGATCTTCGCGTCAAAGCTCGCCAGCGTCCTCCTGGCCTGCTCCCGCTCCTGGTGCTCCATGCGGGACCTGGCCACGAAGCTGATCTGCCCGACCTTGCCGGGGCGAAGCCGATCCCGCTGCACAAAGTCGACTTTGAGCGGGGCGTTCATCCCCTGCTCCTCAAGGTAGTTCGGGCTGCTGGCGCCGGCGCCGGCCCATGCCACCTGGGCCCCCGCGAGCGCGGCCACCAGCCCGAGCGCGAAGCCGGCCAGCACGGGGGCCGCGCCCTCCCCGCCCGCGCCCGTCTCCGGGGCGGGCACCTGCTGCTGCAGCTGCGCACGCAGGGCGCCGTGGGCGGGGCCCGCGCGGACGCGGCCCGGCTGCACGAACGCGCCGCCGCAGGCGGCGGCGGCCACGAGGGCGACCGCGAGGGCGGCAGCGCGGGGGGCCATCGCCATAGCACGGGCAGGGCGGGGCGAGCTGTCGGCGGGGCGGTCCGGGCAAACAAAGCGCCTGCGGTCAAGGGGCGGGCCCGAGGAGGCGGGGATGGGGCTGGAGCAGCTCGTGACGGGGAGCGGAGAAGCAGCCAAGGCCAACGGAGTCCCACCAGCCCTCTTGGCGTGGGTGCTTCGGGGAGTATAGTCTTCCAACCTCTCTCTTCCACTTCGGGGAGAGGTTCCCCTCCCTCTCCTTGGGTCTGGAGGGGGTAGGTTCGCGGGGCGCTGGAACGTCCAAGATGGCCCAAGATGGCTCCAAGACGGCGCCAGATAGCCCAAGATGGGCTCCAAGATGGTGCGAGATAGCCCGAGGTGGCTCTGAAAAAGCCTCCCACATGCCTCCAATAAGCTGCATGACGAACAAGTGGCCACGAAGCCTCCCAAGGAACCCCCCCTCGAGAGGCCAAAACCCTGTCGAAACCTAGAAACATCCTATGTGCGTGTCTTCTCGCCTTTTCGCTTCCGATGAGCCCTTGAGGCCTCAAAATGGCTCCAAGACCGCCCGAGAGAGACCCTAGAGGGGTCCAAAAGGGGCCCAAGAGGGCCACAGGGCGCTTCAAGAGGCAAGCTTTCGGCCTCCGACGAGGCAGGGCCGTAATCAAGAACCCCCCCTTCTTTGATCGATGGCCCCCAAAAGCGCCCCCAAGGCCCCCAAGAGGGGCCCAAGAGGCTCCCAGTTCGACAGATCCGCGAAGGCATTTAGGGCTGACTCCTGGGCCTGCTCAGGCTGCTCCCGATCTTCGGTCTGACAACTGCGCCCCCCCCCCGCCCCCTGTATGTTCCACTGCGTGCTCCCACACGTCCCTGATCAATGCAACTCGCCTGGGAATCGTTGCTGGATGGGCTGCTGGGGATGCGCGAGGCGTCAAGAAGTGTAAAACACTGGTCGAGAGGCCCCCGCAGAGGGATCACGGTGGGCTGCCCTGCGGCTTCTCGCCCAGCCCGTGCACAGTCAGCCTTCGTGCTACCATAAGGAACGCTGGATAAGGAACGAAGAAGCTTTTCTGGCCACGGCGAGCCTCGGCTACGAACAGGTTCCGCCGCCTAGAACTAAGAAACGGACCGAAAACCAGAGCCCCTCCTGAGCCTACAGTGGTCCTTATTTCAGCGTCCTGATTGCACCCCGCCCTCCCCTCCAGTTGCTCCTCCCCCTCCTCGTCTCCTCCCCCCTATTGCGCTGTTCCCACCTCAGCCGGTCGCCTTCCCATGCCCGTCGTGGCAGCTGCCCCTGCTTCGAGTCGCTTGCTCACGAGCCGGCTCGGAGCAGCAGCACTGGCGGCAGCGATAGGAGCCTGGGCAGGAGGAGGGAGAGGAGGAGGAGCAGGAGCTTGGGCAGCCGCAACAGCAGCTGGAGCGGGAGGAGGAGGAGAGGACGAGGAACAGCAGCAAGCAGCAGCAGCAGCAGCAGCAGCAGCAGCAGCAGCAGCAGCAAAGGAGCAAGGGGCGGGGAGGGGAGCAGGAGGGCGGCGTTCTCATCTCTGCCCCCATGGGCTCTCAAAAAATACTGTGGCCGGAGCTGCCGCGGAACTCCGCCGACTTAAAGGTGCGTCGACGACGGCGGTGGCCGCCTGAGAGCTTGGAACCTTGAAGCCCCCAGTCTGACCCCTGTGCCCCTCCCGAGACGGGAGCTCACTTGGAGAAGCTACCCGCCTGGGCCAGCCTCTTCAGCCCCTCCATTGTCCTGTCCACGCGCTGGGCCCTGTCCGGCGCCGCCTTGATCTTCGCGTCAAAGCTCGCCAGCGTCCTCCTGGCCTGCTCCCGCTCCTGGTGCTCCATGCGGGACCTGGCCACGAAGCTGATCTGCCCGACCTTGCCGGGGCGAAGCCGATCCCGCTGCACGAAGTCGACTTTGAGCGGGGCGTTCATCCCCTGCTCCTCAAGGTAGTTCGGGCTGCTGGCGCCGGCGCCGGCCCATGCCACCTGGGCCCCCGCGAGCGCGGCCACCAGCCCGAGCGCGAAGCCGGCCAGCACGGGGGCCGCGCCCTCCCCGCCCGCGCCCGTCTCCGGGGCGGGCACCTGCTGCTGCAGCTGCGCACGCAGGGCGCCGTGGGCGGGGCCCGCGCGCACGCGGCCCGGCTGCACGAACGCGCCGCCGCAGGCGGCGGCGGCCACGAGGGCGACCGCGAGGGCGGCAGCGCGGGGGGCCATCGCCATAGCACGGGCAGGGCGGGGCGAGCTGTCGGCGGGGCGGTCCGGGCAAACAAAGCGCCTGCGGTCAAGGGGCGGGCCCGAGGAGGCGGGGATGGGGCTGGAGCAGCTCGTGACGGGGGAGCGGAGGAGCAGCCAAGGCCAACGGAGTCCTACCAGCCCTCTTGGCGTGGGTGCTTCGGGGAGTATAGTCTTCCAACCTCTCTCTTCCCCTTCGGGGAGAGGTTCACCTCCCTCTCCTTGGGTCTGGAGGGGGTAGGTTCGCGGGGCGCTGGAACGTCCAAGATGGCCCAAGATGGCTCCAAGACGGCGCCAGATAGCCCAAGATGGGCTCCAAGATGGTGCGAGATAGCCCGAGGTGGCTCTGAAAAAGCCTCCCACATGCCTCCAAGAGGCTCCATGACCAACCACCCCACGACGGCTCCAAGTGGCCACGGAGCCTCCCAAGGACCCCCCCTCCGAGAGGCCAAAACCCTGTCGAAACCTAGAAATATCCGATTTGCTTGTTTTCTCGCCTTTTCATTTCCGATGAGCCCTAAGGCCCCAAAGACCGCACGGCCACAGGAGCGCTTCAAGAGGCAAGCTTTCGGCCTCCGAAAAGGCACGGCCGTAAGCAAGA